TTTTTCAACTTATGCCCAAAAATTACCTTTTCACCCCTCAACATTAAAACCCATTACAATTCGGGTACAATATTTACCAATTACATCCCTACTTCTATAATCCTTCTCAAATTTGATCCTTAATTTACCAAACAACCCCTTAGCCTAAAAAACATCTTCAAATGAAGTCCCAGAAGTTACCATTTAGTCCCTTCCTTCATAAATACTTACAAAACCAATCTGAAATTTACACTTTTAACCCCTAACATCTAAATTATGCCATTTGAGTCCCCGATAAATATTATGGATTTTTCGGCTACAATTCATCTACCAATTTTATCTATTTATTTATGTAACAAACGGAATGTTATATTTGTAGAAAAGTTCTGGTATTTTTTGTTTACAGAAAAGTCACAATATTTTGGGTTAGTTTACGAAATAGTCCCAAATTAATTTGGTACCGGTTTCAACCGGTCAAAAAGGGACAAACTACAAATTTCTGTCGGTTTTTAGGATTTTTTCGTTCAAAAAAAATATTTGGACTAAATTGTAACTTTTCCGTGAATATTGATACTTTTTTCAAGATTTCCCAGTGGACATATTGAATATTAAAACCACAGCTCCTTTCAATTAGGCTTGCACAAAAAAACCGGTTCAGGATCTGAACCGATCACTAAACCAGTAAACCGGTTCACCATGAACCGATCCACTATGAACCGAACCACCGGTTTGCACCCGTTCGAGATTTTAGACATTGAAATCGGTTTAATAACCGTGAACCGGTTTAGAACCGGTAGCACCGATCAAACCGGTTAAGAATCGATTGAATCGGTGTAACCGGTTTAGATAGGTTCGAGATTTTCTATGACGGAACTGGTTTGAACCGAACCGGTTTTACTATTTACGAATTGAAACCGATCCGGTTTTTTGAACTGGTTCGGTTTGAAAAAAAACCGGTTTGCTCACCTCTACTTGGAAAGCTTAAGAGAAAATCAAACAATTAAAATCCACGTTAGATAGGGCCCAATTACTTCCACAAGTCATTTCAAAAAATATTTACCCATGTTAAAACCACAGTTCATTCCAATAAGGCCCACGAGAAAAACAAAGAATCAAAATCCACGTCTAATATAGGCCCTACTACTTCTATGAATGTGTACAAAAAGTATTTACCCTTAAATAAACGGGTTATTGTCACTGTAGCCCAACAATATTTCGTATATTTGTTTAAATGGTCCCTTGTGACTTTTTTTTGCCTTTAAAGGGTACGAATTCATGTTTTTAGGGTTTAAAAAGTCATTTCTAGAAAAATGAAGGGGTCACCCGGTGAACCCCTTCCTAGCCAACAGGTTTAAAAGTTAAAAAAATGTACCATTGTTTTGGGTTTGACTGAAGGGATAACGAGGTCGTTTTCCGGCGAGATTCTTCGAGGTTTCCTTCTCGTCTCCAGTAGCAATAATCTGGAAGGAATTTAGAGCAACAGTAACAGCGATTGGGGTGGGTTATTTGGTGTTCGATCGAGCAAATAGGAGGGGAAATCGGAGAAGGAAGCATCTCCTGTGCCTGAAGAAACTGAAGAGGAAGAGGGGAAACAGAAGGCGGACCAGGAAAAGAAAGAATACAAATGAAATCAGCAACTCGATGGGTCGATGGTTCTTAATCGATCATGAGGAGAGTGAAAGGGGAAAAAGAACCCGTTTTTCTGATGATCCACTTGGTCTTCCCTGACTCTATCGCCGACAGCCACAATTACGGATGAATTCCAAGCAATAAGAGCAACTCACAAAGGAATGGTGTTCAGTGATTGTTTTAGTTCACCAAGGGAGGGGTTGTCATGGTGGTCGGTAGCTCCTCGTTTCTTTTTTTTGGTTCGACAATGAAGCTGGAAGGGAGGGTGTTTGTTGTCATTGATCGAGACCATTCACGTGATGTTTTGGGTGATGCTTCTTCAACAATGGTGATTTGCAGTGAGAACAATCGAGACCATTCACGTGATGTTTTGGGTGATGCTTCTTCAACAATGGTGATTTGCAGTGAGAGAGGGACGAATCTTCCCAGTGTACCATACGATCGGCCAATGCATCGAGAGTAGCAGATTACGCACCTACGTGCTTCCTTCTTGCCAATCATCGATCGTTCCCCTTTGACTAATCGATTTCTAGACCCTGATTTCCAACTTTTTCAATCGATCGCACATCTGCGATTGTTCTTTCCCCTTGGAGCGACGAGGATCAATCCTTTTCATCCCCAATCGATTTTACTTCCGATTTCGTTTGGCAGGTGCAATCCATTTCCTCCCCAGTTGATTTTACTTACGTGGCAACGATGAGTCAACTCACCAATGAGTCATTGTTGACTCACCTGCCTAGTTGGCAGGTGATAAAGGTAGTGTAACCTTCAAAAATAGGTAAAAATACGAAATTAACCGGTAAAACACAAGTTTGTGCCCTTTAAACGCAAAAAAAAAAAAAAGAAAAAAAAAGAAAAAAAAAATCACGAGGGACCATTTAAACCAATATACGAAACATTGTTGGGCTACAGTGACAATAACCCTAAATAAACCAATCATAATTCACAAGGCTCTTTCTCTTATTTCTCAAAAATATAATATAATCACATCATCGCGATCCCTAATAAGATCATTATCCAACATACGTACGTATACTACACAAAGACATCCTAAATAATAAAAGTTCTACCTATCATAATAGATAACCATCATATAAAAAATAAGTTTTCCTAACTTGCAACTTTTCCTATATTTAACTTATAAACATTAGCTCATAATTAATTTATAAAACCTTCTTGGAATGCTCAACCCACAACTCCCAACAAACATGCTTTTATGACCATATACAATTACGATGGTTGCTATTAAGATAAAACTGAATTATTCAATTGGATAATTTGGATTCGATTATTTGATTCAAATATTCAGATTTTTGGATTGATTTTCAACAAAAGCGAATTATTATTTTGGATTTAGATTGGTTTTGGTTTATAAAATAAGAACCGAATAAAAAAAAAAACCGAACAAACATTTATTATTTGTTTATTTTTAATATATATCTATAGTTACTTATTAATTTTGTAATTTATTTTTTCAAATAGGTTCAAAATGTTTCACCCGATAAAAAAAACATTAACATGCATTTTTTCTCAAAAGTTTTGTATCTATAAAATATTTAACTATATATTCTTATTAGTTGTTTATAAATTTCAAATCACAACTAAATAATTTGTTTTTGCTTATTGTGTAAAGTTAGGTAATATTATAATTATATGTCGTTTTAAAATGTTTCGGCTTTTGAAAACCGAATTATAAAAACCAATTCAACCGAATTGTAATTGGATCGGATCGAATCAGATTTGAATTTAGTTTGGACTATTAAGATCCATGTTTTGAAAATCGAAATCAATTTGGATTCACTTGATTGGATCGGATCAAACCGATCCATCCAAACGAACACCCCTAATACAACATACAATCTCTGCAATATTAAAACATCTATATCGTCAAATCACAAATAATGCATAACACCATTAAGCTTAAACTCAGGACCAATAAATTCAATTACACTAAGTACACCTTTTAACAACTATTCATAATGAAACTAAACATTTACTAAAAAAAAAATTAACCCCACATCAAAGAGAAAATAATAATTTCTACACGCCCCACCAATCACTTTATGAAATTCGTCTAAATAAACAATACGTTTTGTACTCTTTATGTTTTATATACATACATGTTTTTCAATCCGCCTAAAAAGTAAATTAAAGAACACGTCAAAGTACTTTCTTACTATTAATATCAATGTACTACTTTGATATGTAGTAAAATATTTTCGTTTTCCTTGCAGCTCATTATCGATCGTATCTTTCAACTGAAAACCTCTGCTTACTCTGGTTATGATTAATCCCATAACATTTAGCATGCCATAGGATGAAAAATATAGTCTGCTATAATTGTTATAATTGTTAGTTGATGGTATTCCTTTTTATTCTAGTTTTGTGATTAGCCCAAAAGTGTATGTTTGATCTATGACCAATGGGCTTAGCAGCCCACCTACCAAATTTGACTGTGGATGCATACTACACTATAAATTAAAGCCAATTGATCGTCAAAATTTTTAATTTTTAATTTTTGGACTAAATATTTTACTCTTAATTATTATTTATATGGCCTAAACCGTAATATCATTTGAGTAATAAGTAAAAATTTATCAAAATATCATTATATTAAGTATAAAGTATTTTTTACATACTTCTAACAATTACATGTCACTAATAACCCATTAATATTAAACCGATTGTCCGTACATTTCATCTTGATCACTGGGATTTAAATACAACCAATTTCTAAAACTAGTATAAAAATATCAAATATTCCTTATATAACATGATGATAAATAATTATTTGCTATTTGTATTCTTTAAAAATAGTTTGGTAACCTAATATTCTTGGGTCCCTCTCACCCGTTAAAACCTCATCAATCATTGGCCTTATCTTTAACAAACTGGAATCACAACTAATTGTATTCAATTTTAAGTAGTTTTTGATATATATTTTATACATGCTAAATAAGTTTGAGGTGTTTTTGATGATCGGCTATTATCTAACATCCTTGGAATTTTTCAAATGTCGTTTTGAGTGAATGTAATTTGTCAAATACGTCGAAATATGTAGTAAGGATCAAAAGTTGTTCGAAATGTCATTTACTTCATACATGTAGTAACATCCTATATTGTTCTAAAAAAACGATAATATAATTCTAATCATATTGAAATAATACAATCATCAATTTATCCTCATAAAATTATTCTGTGATCATTATTTTCAAAAGCAAAAAAATCACAAGTATTGCTCCAGTTAACAAACAATTTTAGTATATTGTATGCAAATCAATGTACATGAAAGAGACACCCAACATGCAACGGTTGACTTAGAAATTGTGGTTGTTTTTCAACATGTACATCACCAAATCTCATAAAATACACACCCACACCCACACCCACACCCACACACTATCATTGCAACATTAAAATCAAGCCAAAAATGTTATAATGCATTAATTGGTGGTTTTAGTTTGTTGTTCCTATATTCATTCGGCTGTTTTGTTTTTTTCTCGACTTAATAACATTTTTTACTAGATTAAAGAGTTGTTATGTTAAGATGAGTGTATTGCTTATTTTACATATGTTGTTACTTTTGTTACCCGTGGTTTGTTTAAGCTCTAAAATGGTTGTTTCATCAAGTGTTGAGACTTCAAGTGTTGTCGAGGGGAGTGTAAACATAAACGGGACGACTTCCATTGGTTTCATTGATGAAGACTTCATATGTGCAACTTTAGATTGGTGGCCACAAGAAAAATGTGATTATGGAAGTTGTAGCTGGGGAAATGCTTCTCTTCTCAATCTGGTGAGTATATGTAGATTGCAATTTTTGTCTGATCACATCGGTCCTAGTTCTAACCTAGACTCACAACTCCCAATTCTAGTCTAAATTAGAACTCAAACTGATGTCAATAAGATAAAAACTGCAAAGTGGTAGGATAATGACTTCAAGTTCTAGGTCTAGTGTAGACTCACAAGTCCTAATTCTAGTCTAGACTAAAACTTGGACCAATGTCAATAACACAAAAATTGTAAAAAATATGAGACAATGGATGATTTCAAAACTGATCACGACAAAACAACAATTGTAAAAATGTGGGAAACCAACTTGTTATCATTCTCTCGTGTGTGTGTAAAAGACATGAATCCTTCATCATCTTTATCACTGACAATCATGCCCCCTTTAATAAACATAACCTAAACGAAGTAAATTGGTCGTTAATTGGCTTTGTGACACCTCGATATGAATGATATACATTTATTGCAAACTTTTTTGTACTTATTTCTTGTATCTTCATATAAACCATTGTTTAATTGTTTTATCTTCTCAACAGGACCTAAACAACCAAATCTTGTTTAATGCAATCAAAGGTGCGTACAAGAAAACTCAATAAAACCTAGATAATGATTTCTCTCTCTTATTATATTATCAGTGTAACCGGTTATTCAACCCATAATCTTTAGATTGAGCAGCTAGGTTACTTATACATGAGTTAAAAACTTAAAATTGAAAGTATCTTGTATTTGATACTTTGAGTGTGAATGTGTGATATGCAGCCTTTTCTCCTTTGAAAGTTAGATTGGGTGGGACTTTGCAAGACAAGGTGATGTACCAAAGGATTGGAGATCAGGGACCATGTGACAACTTCACCAAAAACACTAGTCTGATGTTTGGCTTCACCAATGGTTGCTTGACCATGTCAAGATGGGATCAACTCAACATTTTCTTTAAAAATTCCGGGTAACTTTTTTTTTTTTTTTTTTTTTTTTTTTTTTTAAATGTTTAAAATATGAGGTTCTAGTGTTATTTTCTAATCTAGAACTCTATTTTTTAAGATGTTAATGTAATAATTTATGCAAAGATAAATTGATCAAATCAATATGATAACTATACTTTATAAACCATGAGTTTCAATTTTACTTTTCTCGAAATTTTGTAGGGCAAAGGTTGTGTTCGGTTTAAATGCTCTAACAGGCCGACAAATCGGCTATGATGGTACAACGTTTGGATCATGGGACTTGAGCGATGCAGAAGCTCTTATAAGATACACTGTGAACAATGGCTATGTTATTTATGGTTGGGAACTTGGTAGGTTCTTGCTTCATGACTTATATTTTAACAATCGAATCAAATTCTATCAACAATAATAATACTCAAATCTCATAAGAATAGATGTATATCATATAACATGATCATAACTAAACGAAAATGATCAGGAAATGAACTGAGTGGAAGGGGGATTGGAACAAGTGTCGCAGCAAAACAATATGCATCGGATACAATTTCCCTTCAAAATTTAGTGCAAAAGATATACAATGGATCTCAAGAAAAACCGATAGTTCTTGGCCCTGGGGGATTCTTTGATGCAAATTGGTTCAATGCGTATGTAACACACGCCGCGGGTTCTCTCCAAGTGATCACTCAACACATTTATAATCTTGGTCCAGGTAAAATTTATAAAAAACACAAATAATCAAAAATGTATTCATGTCAAATCTGTTTAAATATGTTATAAATAGGTGTCGACGCTCATTTGGTTGAAAAGATACTCAACCCATCATATCTTGATGGAGGATCACAACCATTTAGATATCTTCAAAAATGTATTCATGTCAAATACGTTTAAATATGTTATAAATAGGTGTCGACGCTCATTTGATTGAAAAGATACTCAACCCATCATATCTTGATGGAGGATCACAACCATTTAGAGATCTTCAAAACATTTTGAAGAAATCCGGAACTTCTACAGTTGCTTGGGTGGGTGAAGCTGGTGGTGCATATAATAGCGGTCGTAACCTTGTCACAAACGCTTTTGTATTTGGCTTTTGGTAGGTCCTCTTCACAAAAATCAATTTATGTTTTACACGATATATAACATGACAAAACAAAGTACACTGTGTTTGACGTGCACACATGAATTGTGTTTGTCATGCATGCATTGACCTGGCAGTGGAATGAATTACATGATAAAACAGAGTATATTGTGTTTGACACGCACGCATTGAATTGTGTTTGACATGCATACAACTGTTTGTCCCACCATCCGAGTATATTGTGTTTGACATGCATGCATTGAACGGGTAGTAGAATGATGTCAAACTCAAAAGGGACATAGTGTAGTTGTTTGTCCCACTATCTTTTGTATGTGAAAAAGACATAAATGTCCTCATGAAACTTCTTTTTGTTGCTACTTTGAATTTTTAACATGATCGAGATAGGTACTTGGATCAACTTGGGATGGCATCTACATATAATACGACAACATATTGTCGACAAACATTGATAGGAGGAAACTATGGACTTCTCAACACTACCACATTTGTCCCAAATCCTGATTACTATAGGTACTTTTATCAAATTTACTTTTTTTTTTCTTAAAAAAAAAATTCACTCAGTTCCAGAGTTTTATAGAAATTTATTCGTCACTATACAGTGCGCTTCTTTGGCATCGGCTAATGGGAAGACATGTTCTATCAACAAATTTTAGTGGCACAAACAAAATACGTTCATACGCTCACTGCTCAAAGACTTCGGTAAGTAATAAACCAAAAAAAGTTAAAAAAAAAATTACCTCTTCTTTTTTTTACTAACTTAAAATAATCTCAAATTTTACAGACGGGGATCACGTTGCTATTGATCAACCTAGACGATATTAAAACAACAAATGTCGGGATTTCTTTTATAAACACCATTAAAATAATGACACAAACAACAAAAAAAGAACCGAAGCAAACAAAAAGAACAAAGTTCTCTAAAATGATACGAAACCCTAAAGTTGATGAGGTTATAAGAGAAGAGTATCATCTAACAGCAAAGAATGGAGATTTGCATAGCCAAATTGTATTGCTAAATGGGAAGGAATTGGTTGTAAATTCATCAGGGATTATACCTTCATTGGATCCGATAAAACAAAACTTCTCAAGTTCAATTAATGTTGCTCCTTACTCCATTGTGTTTGTTCATATACCTAGTGTACGTTTTCCTGCATGTATTTGACTTTGACCAAATGGTATTTCTAATTTGTGTTTTTGTAAACAATTGACTTTGACCATGATTTGAGAGTCTAATCAAGCCAACGAACACACCTTATCTGGGAACAAATATATTTAATCAATAAATATGTTTGAAGATTAAATATCAATCAAATAATTAAATTAGATACAAGAAAGAGATGAATTACCTTGTTGAGAACCACTGCAACAAACACGGTTTTCGTCTATATATGTTGCTTGTATGCCCATCATCCATGAGCCTATTGATGTGTCTTCATGAGCATATGTCTTCAAAGATGCACTGAAAGACAAGAATCAGATGAAGGGTATTTTAGTCTTTATACCTAGACATTTACATCTTGCAAAGGACAACTTACCTGTTTATGTTTATGTACTGTGCAAATCTTTTTGATATAATCAAAAGTGATCCAGATGCATGCCGAAAATAACTGGACAAAAATACCCTTTTAGTCACATTAGCTTACATAAACATGAATGGACATAACTGAAATATTATTATATTAAAGTTGATGGATTTGACAACTAAATACTTACGATTTTTCATCACCAAATTTCCACCAATCTGGTTCATACCATGGCTTTCCCCTGACAATTAATAAACATAATAATAAATAAATAAATAAATTACATACATAAGCACAAATACATGTTACACATGGAGCTTTTTTAAAAGGGTGTTTAGCTTACTCTTCAGAAACCACTTCACCTGATTTCATGCATCCAATATAAACACTATCTTGACCATGATGACTTTCAAGAAGTTCAATTAACCCCTCTGAAAAAGGAAAATAAAACTGATTAAATAAATACAACAAACATTATTACATTATAAAGATAAATGATAAGAAAATAAAAAGTAAATGGTAATCTTCTTACCAAGGTCAAGGCCGATATTGTTATCCACTTTTATATAAAACTCTGCATCCCAATTTTGAACTGCTGTGCTAAAGAAGAACTTTGCTTTCTTTGATGATTCTTCATCTGCTTCCTCATGTTTATCCTAAGAATCAAACATTTCAAAAGTCGAATCTACTAACTTACAAGGAAAAAGGGAAAGGGTATTTAGGTAATTAGTCAAGTGGTAGTTATGATGTTCTAAATTATCATTTATGAAACTATATTAACTTGAAGATAGAATCTACTAACTTACAAGAATCAAGAAATCTTTTGTTGTACGATTTTCCTCATCAATGTTGCGATCCAAGCTGTCACCCCGATTAGGGCTGAAATTTCAAGGGTTGTTTAATTTGGGTTAGTTACCATTTACCAAAATGACAAATATAGGCTTTTAGCTGATTTAGTGGGTTATTATATAATCAGGGTAGTGGAATAGTATAGGTCCTAGTTTCTTTTTGTATGTCTGTGTTTTTTTATAAGTCATTGCTCCTACTTAAGAAATTTAAAAGAAAAACAAAATTAAGGCCAGAAGCAAACCTCCGACCAATGACAAAACGTATGACAATTCCTCTTTCTTCAAGCTTCTTCAAAGAATCACCTGTAGAACTCAACTGGTTTAGCATATTATTCTTATTTTACTTCTCACAAAAAGACCAGTGATACAGATATGCAAACAAATCAATAAGTAGAACATATTTCAATTATTAATACCTGTTGGCATCCAAGAACCTCTGAAAACTTTTCTATTTAATCGACTCCCGAATCCAGTATAAACACCAATAACTGCAAGAAGTTTTTTGCTGGAAGAGAAACCAGGTTGTTTCAGTTGATCCTTGAGGAAACCTTGACTTTTTGCTAGTGATATTTCCATCTCAGATTCCACAATTCTTCTCTCTAAATCCCTGAGAGCAAATATCCATAACAGAAAGAGAAATAACATGTCAAGAGGTCACTCTAGAGATTATAAATATAATAGAAAAAGAGGGGGAATGGCTTGAAAGAAGAGAGACTAGAAAGACCCAAAAGTTTACTTGCATCCTAGGACCATGAGCTTCTCTTCAACTGTAAGAACTTTAGGTCTCTGATATCAAACACAACAAAAAAGTTAATAGAAGAAATCCATTTGTAATGGAGCGTATAATATATAAAGCAATTAAGCAATTTTAGATTCAAAGCAAACCTCTGCGGAATTCTTCATAAGCAGACGAGACAACACCTTTCTGTTCTCAGCATCCTGCCATAACCTAGTAAGATCAAATGAAGATAGCACGTCGTTTAGGTTCACAATTAGCATGACTATTTTTCAATTGTATTTCACAAAATTCATTCACCGAATCCAGAAATTATTTAATTTGAGTAATTTCCACCAGCATAGTAGTCGTAAAATAGGAAGTACAAATGACATGATTACATCAAATAAAAACCCTAAAACTTTTACTTTTTTTGAAACTATGTAAGTTCATAGTAAGTGAGATTTGCAAATTATTAGTCCAGATGTAGTCGGATTTCGATCTAACACTTACAGGTTGTGAGTTCATGGTAAGCAAGATTTCCAAATTCATAGTAATTAAAATATCAAAAAGATACTAAATGAAGCACGAATGCACATAGAGAAGTAGATACCTGCCGGCGATGTAAAGCCAAGCGAGACAAGAGAAGAAAGCGAAAAAGATTGAAGGTACTGAAGATCTTGATGATGATCTGGAACGTTGTTTTTCCGTTTTGGATATCGTAGTTGGCAATGGCGAGCCCTCCTTGTGGTATGGAGGGCTGTTGTTATCCATTTCTTACACTTTGTACTCTCCTGAACAATAAGAATATTGAAATCAATGATAATCAAGCAATAACAAGTTTTGGGGGGAATCGGGATCGAATGTTGGTTGATTTAGCGGATCCAGTTCATTAAATGCAGGATCGAATAACTGGATTTATATGAACAAGACTACGGACGACCTACTGTATGTCTGTATCTGTATCGAACGTCAAGATCTATCTCCGCCGATTTAAATTTTGACCGTTTACTTTCTTTTCTTTTAGAAATGAATAAATATAATCACAGAATTTATGTGTAGATGATCACAAGATCACTTTTTAAATAAATATAAAAAAACAAAGTGTAATTTATAAAAAAATTGCACAATTATTTTCATTGATGATAGTATATTTCAAATTGTTTCGTTAAAAACATTTCATTCTTGTTAAAAAAAAATTATATAGATGGTAAAAAAAATTATATAAATGGTCATTAATATTATTTTTTTAGTGTTATCGATCCTTAAACTTTCAAATAATTTGTTGAAAAATAATATCACCAATTTATGAGTACTCTTCATTTACACACATTGATGATGATCCATGATTGAAGCCAAAAAAAAAAAAAAAAAAAAAAAAAAAAAAACTTAACCTCTTTCTAACATATTTACTTAGGTACTGTTTATTTTTTTAGAAGCAAAATGTATGCAGTCTGCGGATTATATCTGCAAACCTATGCAGTAAAATAGGTGGATCAGATGTCTGCAGTTTGAAAGAAGAAGAAAGTTTGTTTTTTCTGCAGTTTGAAAGAAGAAGAAAGTTTGTTTTTTAACGTATACAGGCTGTTAGAATAAACTAAAATCTAATTAAACTGATTTAGAAACAAAAACTTAAAAGAGTTTTTTTGATAATTTTATGACTTTATTATAGATATTTCACAAATGTAAATTAACTTTTAGGCATTATTGTATAAAAAGTGAAATTAAAATAGTAAGAAGCATCGTATATATTTGATAAAAACCAACAAACTTTGATCGTAAAGTTATATCTAAAATTGTAACTGGAGATAAAATAATTTAACACATAACATCAATGGAAATAAACTTTGATTTTAAATGAAAATTTTCAAAGTTTTTATTTTACATTTTCAATTAAATCAATTAAAAACTGATCATAAATATTTTCCTAAGAAATGAACGATGTCGCATTCAATAATGTTTATAAAATTTGGCACAAAAAAAAAAATATAAGAAAATATTATGATTTTTTTGTATATTTATATAAACAACTTCACAAATTATTTTGTAATTAAATATTTATTTATAAATTTGTCACAAAGGTCATGATTGTGTTATTAAACTTTTTTTTTCCTTTAAGTATTGTAATTTTTTTTTTCCAATTTATTTATGAATAAATTTAAGTTAAAAAAAAAAGAAATAAAAACAACAAAATTATATGTGTTTTTAGGTTAGAAGATGTCTGAAGAGGTTTGAAGACTCTGGTCCACATCTGCATCAAGAAGAGGACGCACATACCTTTTCAGGTCTGCAGTCTTCAAAAAAACAAACAGTATGTGAAGCCTAATGTTTGCGCGGCACAGACAAAAGAGGCATATAAGATGTGCAGACAAAAAACAAACAACACCTTACTACTTTGAGTAAAGAAAAAAAACATCCAATTATCATATACGATGGACGATGATCAAGGACATCCTTATATGATGGTTGAGCTACACTTTCACAGGTATTTTATTCGATGTTCATTTAAGTATGTTGAAGGCATGAAATTCGTATTTACCGACCACGATTTTGCTGGTATGAATGATACTGTTTGTTTAAGTTTTCTTGAATGTTTACTAGGTGAGCGATATGAAATAATGTATCATTGTCTCCCTTGGTATTCAACAAATAAAATGTGATGTAGACTATGACGAGTTCACATATATTTCATATAATATGGGAAGAGGTAAAGCTTCATTGATCATTAACCACTTTCGTAACGATATATATATATATATATATATATATATATATATATATATATATATATATATGTGTGTGTGTGTGTGTGTGTGTATGTGTGTTTTGCAAAACTAACTGGTAGTTGGTAGCTGGAAACTATAGTTTTTATTTGTTATATGAATGTTTGAAAAAATAGTTGAAAGCTTTTGAAACATGTAAGATTGCATAAAATGACAATTGTTTAATATATATATATATATAATATATATATATATATATATATATAATATATATATATATATATATTATATATATATATATATATATATATATATATATGAATGAGTTCTATGGAAAACAAATAAGTAGGGTA